CCCTGATTTCCCATTCCACACACTATATTTCTGTGTGTGTGTTTTTAATTCCTCTAGCGCCGTTGGGTTAGGGTCTCCACGACCAAGCTGGTCTCAGCAAAGGAATGCACCAGCAGTTTGGTAATTTTTTGAAGATATAGTTAAGTCTCTTATTTGTTTCTATGAATAGTTATTTCATTTCCTATGCTTTTCTAGAAAGTCATCATTTGTTCCATTTATCTGGAATTCCTAGGCTACCTTTGTCAGGCCCACAGGAATTGATGGAACACACCAATCTTTTAACTTTAAAGTAACTTTTTGGATTTTAGGCTTCTTGATACTTTAAGCATGTTGAGTATACTTTCATAAATAGAATTTGAGTCATATTATCTCTCTCTGCCCAATTTCCCTAAAATTTGTAAACTATTTTTGAATATTCTTAATTCATGGCAACATGTTTGCATATAATCGAGCAGGGTTGCTAGGACCTCTCAGGGAGTAGAACCCAGAAACCTGGCATGCTGGCAAAATGACAAAAATTTCTTACCAGTCGGTCTCTAGCCTCTTTCTCTCTGTGCAAACTGGTTAAATGAAAGGTAAAAGTCACTGTTTATCTCCCCTGTAAAGTTTTGACTAATACAAAAGAGCTTTAATTAATTGATTTAATAATAAGAGCTTAAATCAAATATTTTTTCAGAAAAATAAATAGTGCAATACCTTTTATTTAGTTCACGTGACTTCAGTAATCTTTGGTAAATAAAGATGGTTTTAAAGATTATTGGTAAAATACAAATATCTTCAAAATATAAGCATGTGGTTTAAATTATGTTCAAATATTAGGGTTACTAAATGATTTAAGGTCATAAACTGCTTCTTTGGCTTTTGAAAATTGTCTGACTTGCCTGCTTTACAGCTAGGTAACGCCTGGGGACATGTGGAGTTGGCTTCTCCTAGTTATGCTAGAAATAGTCAAACCTTATCAGCACCTAGTACATAATGAACATAACTTACCAGGCTTTGCATTAAAATTAAAATGGCTAAGAGTCACCATTATAACATGTAATTGAGAGTACTAAAATAGTTTTACATGCAAATTGTGTAAGGAGAATAGAATGTGTTTTTTTTGTAAAAGGTTATAAGAAGGCATGGAAAAGTAAATTATTGCCTAGGGTTAAAGAATTGTTTTAAATTAGATAAGATAAAGCTAAAAGTTCAAATAAATGGCGGAAGGTTTCTAAAAATTAACCTTGCAAAAGAAATTCTCTGTGTAAACATACTGACTAAATTCAAAAGGGTATTATACTGTTTTTCTGTAAACTGACCATTGAAAGTACAACGAGGTTTTCTTAAGGCACTAATTTGCTCTTTGGCAAAATTTTTAAAGGGTTATAAAAGTTTTTTGCCTCTTTAAAATTTCTGAGTCATCCTTTTGGCAAAATAAATAGCTCATGGTAATCTGGAATTCTATTTCATAACATCAAATGTTTGAAACTCCCAACATATTTAACAGCCTCTGCAAAATCAAACGTCTGTTTCAAAATTGTCTTTCCTGATGCCTGGCTTTTTGGAAGCATCAGGGGGCCCTTGAATCACCAAGAGAAGAGTAAACAGGATTGTTTAACATATTTAGGTACACAGTATTGCCAAAATGATGTTCAATCTTCTTTAGGTTATATTTTTGTGAGTAATGCTAATACATGTCCCAAAATTTTATGAGATTTCTAAAATTTGAATGCCTAAGTATATGCTGTCAATTATAATTATGGTTATTATATTAAGTTATGGTAGACCACAGAAATAACCAAATTTCCTTGTATAAAGCTACTAACCTAAGTAGAACAAAAAAAAATTAATTGAATAACCAGGTTTTGTTTTTCCTCTTGCAAATGTCTGTAACGAACATTTTTAACAGCATAGGTATCCACCTCCTGAAGTTCCAGTTAAATCTTTTAACCAAATTCACTTTCTCTCACCTAGAGACCATAAAGTTTCAGAAGATCATGTGACAAATGTTCCAGCTAGTTCCGGTTGAAGACACTACCCCTGGCCATCAAGAAGCTACTATGCTTCCACTAGACAGAGTAGGGTGAGAGTTCCATGATCCCCAATACATAGGGACTATGCCCTAAGCTAGCATGAAGCTGTTACAGAGAAAGACCATGAGTACCCCCACCTCCCATGAAGATTTATGGGCATCACATCTCTCAGGGAGGAAATGAGGCAGGAAAATAGGATCTGGAGGCACAGAACATAAGACCTATTCACAGCTATGACAGGAAATATTATCTCCATTTACATAGGGCATACACAAAGTAACCAATGGAAACCTCTAGAGGGTATTTAAACCCCCCAAAATTCTGTAACAGGACCCTTGAGCCCCATGCTTGGGCCCACTCCCACACTGTGGAGTGTACTTTCATTTTCAAAAAATCTCTGCTTTTGTTGCTTCATTCTTTCCTTCCTTTGTTTGTGTGTTTTGTCCAATCCTTTGTTCAAGGTACCGACAACGTGGACACTCTCCACTGGTAATAATAAACTTGAGAAACATAAAGTCGATGGGGTATACAATCCCTCGGAGAGAACAGGGTGGCAGATTCAGACAACTGTGCATTTTCTTTCTGACTGAGTCTTTTCTGCATGACTTCCTAAGATTATATATTTTATATTGAGAGCTCTAGAGATTGGGAATACAGTAATGATATGGTAAATTGGGGACCTACTGGAGGGTAGAATATGTGCTTAATCAAACCAAACTTGAGCCTCTGTGCCGGGTTTTGTAGTTGGAACTAAAGATAAGTTGATGAGGAAAATGAAGCACCTGAGATCGAGAGGTGGTAGAGAGAAGTAAATAAGCATTTTCAATTTCACAGTTATATAAAAGATTCAATGGTAGGAGTAACAAGTTGGTGCCATCCAAAAAGGGCATCTCACCGAGCCTCAGAAAGTCAGAGAGGACATCTTAAGGATGAGCAGGGCTTGGTAGACAAAGGATAGAAGGTGAGGAAGCAGGGTTGTTTTAAGAAGTCTTTGTCCCCTGCAAAAAGGCCCTCAGTCAAGAGAATATGCCCAGCTTATAGAAATATAAGGAGTTCATTCTAGCTAAAAGTCTTGAGCACTAGACAGCCTTAAGATATTCCTAAAGTGTTGAGCTGAAGAAAAGATTTCCTTCTAAATACTCACTTTCATAAATGTGGGGCAGAATTTAGAGACCATATACTAGTTGACAACCCAGGGAACTTTGTATTTGACCATATATTTGGGGATAAACTGAAATCTTGTTGAAAGGCCATAATAAAAACAAAATTAAGATGCATGTCTTGTGCCCTTTCTAGTTCTCTGTTCCAATGAGAAGATGTTTCCTGTTGAACAGACTTATGTTATTTCTAGTAATATTAATTAGTTTCATCCTATTGTGGGACCTCTCCCATCCATGTATTATCATTTCAATTTTTAATTTGAATAATTGTATTTATCCATGTTTGAATATATGATGAATTTACATAAAATGTTAAAGATATATATGATGTCAAGTCATCCTCTCATTACTCACCTTAACTATTCAGTTCCACTCCTGGTATGACCAGGATACTACTATATTTTTTATTTTTCCAGAGGGAGCTAATAATGTACACACATGTTCATTAGTTCCTAAATTAAGTGGTAGCAGTATACTTTCTGCATCTTTTTTTTTCTAATGATATATCTTGGATACTTTCTCACAATAGTACAAGTAAAGCTTCCTCTTTCATTTTAGCGGCTGTAGAAAATTCCTTTGAAAGTATGTCCCAAAATTTGCCTTATTGCTGACAGATATATATATTTTTATATACCAAATATATACCAGATATATTTATATTTATATACCAAATATAAAAATAAAAAACATATATTTAGTTTCACTTGCATCCATGTGAAGAGACCACCAAAGAGGCTTTGTGTGAGCAATAAAGCTTTTTAATCATCCGGGTGCAGGCGGGCTGAGTTCGAAAAGACAGTCAGTGAAGGGAGATAGTGGTGGGGCCATTTTATAAGATTTGGGTAGGTAAAGCAAAATTACACTCAAAGGGGGTTGTTCTCTGGCAGGCAGGGGTGGGGGTCACAAGGTGCTCAGGGGGGGAGCTTTTGAGCCAGGATGAGCCAGGAGAAGGAATTTCACAAGGTAACGTCATCAGTTAAGGCAGGGACCGATCACTTTCACTTCTTTTGTGGTGGAATGTCATCAGTTAAGGCATTTTCACTTCTTTTGTGATTCTTCACTTGCTTCAGGCCATATGGACTTAATACCTGCAAGTCACAGGGGATATGATAGCTTAGCTCGGGCTCAGAGGCCTGACATTTAGTATATTTACTAAATAGATATAAAAATATATTTATGTGCAAATATATATTTACTAAATATAAATATATATTTACTAAACATATATGTTTATATTTATATGTGCTATATAAATACCTAATAGTAGAATTGCTAGACAAAATGTATGTACATTAAAATTTTGATACATTGTTCCAACAGTTTACTCTCACTACCCAATATGAGACATAGTCTATTTCCCCAACTCTGTGCCAGTTCAGTGTCCTGTTCTTCCATTCCCATGATAAAACTGAAACAAGAACTTCATAGTTTTCCTTTGAACAACTTTTATTGTCAGTAAAATTAAACATTTTTAATCTCATATTTTTGTCCATTTAAAAAATGTGGTATTAATAACGTTCAAGCCGAGAGCCAAATCAGGAATGCAATCCCATTCACAATTGCCACAAGAAGAATAAAATACCTAAAAATACAGCTAACCAGGGAGGTGAAAGATATATATAATGAGAATTACAATATACCCCTGAAAGAAATCAGAGATGTCACAAACAAATGGAAAAACATTCCATGCTCATGAATAGGAGCACAGCTTTGTAAAGAAAGGACATAGGGTGAGGAAGTCGGGTTGTTTTAAGAAGCCTGTGTCCCCTGTGAAAAGGCCCATGGTCAAAAGAATATGCCTATCTTGTAGAATTACAAGGAGTTCATTCTAGCTGCAAGTTTTGAGCACTAGACGGCTGAAATAAATTTCTAAAATGTTGAGTTGAGCAAATAGTTCAATGCTATCCCTATCAAAACACCAGTGACATTCTTCACAGAATTAGAAAGAAACTACTTTAAAATGCATTTGGAACTAAAAAAGAGCCTAGCCAAGGCAATCTTAAGCAAAAAGAACAAAGGGGGAGGCATCAAGTTACCAAACCTCAAAGTATACTAGAGGGCTACAGTAACCAAAACAGCATGGTATTAGTACAAAAACAGACATGTAGATAAATGGAACATAACAGAGAGCCGAGAAATAATGCTGTACACCTGCAACCATCTGATCTTCGACAAAGCTGACAAAAACAAGCAATGGGGAAAGAAGTCTCCAGTTAACAAATGGTGCTGGGATTACTAGCTAGCCATATGCAGAAGACTGAAACTAGGCCCCCAGCTTACTCCACATACAAAAATCAACTTAAGAAGGATTAAAGACTTAAATATAAAACGTTAAACTATAAAAACCCTGGAAAATAACTTAAGAAATACCATTCTGGACATAAGACTTGGCTAAGATTTCATGATAAAGACAACGTAAGCAATTGCAGCAAAAACAAAAATGGACAAATGAGATCTCATTAAATTAAAGAGCTTCTGCACATCAAAATAAACTATTGACCAGATGTGGTGACCCATGCCTAAATCCCAGTACTTCGGGAGGCTGAGGCAGGCAGATTGCTTGAGCTCAGCAGTTCAAGACCAGCTTGGGCAACATGGAAAAATCTGTCTCTACAAACAAATACAAAAAATTAGCTGGGCGTGGGGGTAAGCACCTGTAGTCCCAGCTACTTGGGGGGCTGAGGTGCAAGGACTACTTGAGCCTGGGAGGTTGAGGCTACAATGAACCATGTTTGTGCCACTGCACTCCAGCCTGGGTGGCAAAATGAGACCTTGTTTCAAAAAACAAAAACAAAACAAAACAATGAGCAAAGTAACAGACAACCTACAGAATGGTAGAAAATATTTGCCAACTATGCATCCAACAAAGATCTAATATCCAGAATCTATAAGAAACTTCAAAAAATTTACAAGCAAAACAAGCAACCCATTAAAAAGAAAGTGGGCAAAGAACATGAACACATTTCAAAAGAAGACATATATGCATTTAAAAAGCATATAAAAAATGTTCAACATCACTAATCACTACAGAAATGCATACCATCTCACACCAGTCAGAATGGCTGTTACTAGAAATTCAAAAAATAACAGATGCTGACAGGTTGTCGAGAAAATGGAACACATACACTGTTGGTTGGAGTGTAAATTAGTTCAGCCACTGTGGAAAGCAGGTTGGTGACTCCTCAAAGAACTTAGAATTACAATTTGACTCAGCAATCCCGTTATTCCCAAAGGAATGCATATTCCCAAGGAAATATAAATCATTTTACCATAAAGGCATGTGCATGTGTATGTTCATTGCAGCGCTGTTCACAATAGCAAAGATATGGAATCAACCTAAATGTGCATTAACAATAGGCTGGATAATGAAAATGTGGTATCTACCAACACCACGGAATACTATGCAGCCATATAAAACAACAAGACCATGTCCTTTGTAGCAATATGGATGGAGCTGGAAGCCGTTATCATAAGCAAACTAACATAGGAACAGAAACCCAAATACCACATGTTCTCACTTACAAATGGGGGCCCAACAAAGACAACACGTGGATACTAAGAGGAGAACAAGAGACACTGGGGTCTACTTGAGGGTGGAGATTGGGAGGAGGGAGAGGATCAGAAATAAAACCTATTGGGTATTACGCTTAATAATTGTGTGATAAAATGATCTGCACACCAAATCCCCATGACATTGACATGCAGTTTACCTACATAACAAACTTGCACATGTACCCCTGAACCTAAAATAAAAGTTAAAAAAAATTAAAAATTGTGGTGCTGCTCTCTTCTTATTAATTGGCAAGAGCTAATTATAACTGAAATTATTTCTATAACTATAATATAAATTGCAAATGGTTAATGGCTTCTTAATCTTACCAGTTGTCTTTTTGCTTTACTTAAATCTTTTCTAGAAATAATGTCACTACTTCTGACTTGTTTCCCATGTTTATAAATTAACAGTTCAATCAAAATTAAGTTTGTTTTTTGTGGATGTCAGTCCTTGATATTCTTTGATAATCACTTTTTAATTTTAAACGTTTCTTGAATGAAACTGCTATAACACATATACTTACAAAATTATCAACAGTGTTATGTTATTAAAATAAAATAAATCTCATTTTATATTTTCTTACCAGGAATATTCAGGCTCTTAAATACGTGAGCAACAAGTAGCTACTCCAAGTAGCTTAGAAGCCCAACAATCATTAATTTGCCAACTGTGTCAAGGGTCTTCAAAAGCAGAAAGAGTTCTTCATTTTTAGTTCTTTCAAGTTTTTCTTTCAGTTTATTAATCTCTTTATTTAACTGCTCAGATTTCTCTCGAAACCCTTCCTTAAGCATTTCTTCTTGTACCTATAAAAGGGGAATAGTTCACTTTTGAAAGTCTCCAATTTTCTTCAGTAGTCAGAGTTTTGTATTTAACTAATTCAACACTTAAGCATATGTGTCTATTTCTCTATTATCTTGGAAAATTCTCTGATGAGTTTGTCTGACATTTCCAGATGATTGGACCTGAATCGTGGGAGTATACATGGTTTACCTTTTGTGACATTCCCTAAGCAACATCTCACTGGAGGTAGAAAGAAATTTTGTTCCAGCACAAAGAATGCCCTTCGAGAGGGAATGCAGGTTTAATTCTAATTAATTCTAATTTCCACTGATATAGCATGGTCATGCTCATCTAGCAAATAATGGGGACTGCTGACCCTGTATAAAACACTGGTCGTCAAGCTCCGAGTTGGGACGAGGAATATGTTTTACTCTAGTTGTATAGGATGAATCAGGCAGATACAGAAACAAAAATGGAGCAATTTGTGATCTTTCAGTATCATTTCATATCAAGCCAAATCTGATGCTCTCATCCAGATGGTTCTATTTCAGGTACCTTAGATGGTTGTGTCAAAAATCCCAAGGATTGGTGGATTAAGGTCCTATTTAATTGGGGCACAGTGAGACTATCCTGTAGTCACCACAAACAGCAGCCCGGGACTCTGGGGGATGGCATGTGTATTCTCCAAAGTCTAACATGAAGATGCTGGAGTCTTGTAGACTTTCAGGGTTCTGTACAATTCAGATGTATTTGAGATTTTAGTGAAACATACAACTTTTGTGTTTCCTTGTGGAATCATGACTGTGCCTAAAATGTTGGTCCTTCCTTTCCTAAAGAAGCAGGGCATTGTCCCTCAGGCACTGCCATGCTTCACGGAGACTCACCTTCAGCTTGTGTTTCAGCATACTTTCATGCTCTCTGAGAAAGATTTCCCTTTCCCGCACCAACTTCTTCTCCATTTGGGCCATGTGTTCCTGGAAGCTTCTCTCTTGAGCCTCCATCATTTGCTGCTGCTCCTTCTGTTTTTCTCTTTGCAGTTCCTGTTCCTTCTCAGCTGCTTCCCTCATTGCCCGCTCCGCTATTCCACAAAGGTTTTAGAGAGGGAAGAAGTGACAGTTATGCCTGAGTTCTACCCTCCCGAGCTCAGATCAAACTGACTTGGAGAAAAGCACAAAGGTGAGGGATTGGGAATCTCTGAATTCTCCCACTAGCCATGTCTGGAAGAGAATGTTGAATAATGTGATGTGAAGGCACTGGCTGGCAGTTCAACCCCAATCCCCTTGCGATTTTGAGATTCAGCAGAGTATATGTTCCATAGTGGGAGGAAGCTCCTTCCTCTATAGTAAGAGAAAGCAAATTCCAAGTATACAATATATTTTTTAACTATAGTCGCTATGCTGTACATTTGGTATCCAGAACTTATTAATATTTTAACTGAATGTTTGTGACTTTTGAAGCTCCTTTTATCTGGAATATCTTTCAGTGTGATCAGCAAGTAGGCATTGCAGGAAACTACCAACCCCTCTGACAGCTGAGCCCTGCCCCTGTACCTGCTATGGCCTTCTCTCCAGCAGTGAGGGCTTTGTCTGACTGCAGGATGGATTCCTCTATAACCACCTGTGACTGCAGGAAGCTCTGGAGGACCTCATTTGCCTGAGGAACCAAGAAAGAGGAAAGCTCCATCAAGCAGCAAAGATCTCATCTTATGATGATGAAATTAGTGTTCAATAAAGTCACAAATCTAACCATGTAAACTTTGCATAATTCTTAAGATCCCACAGTGGTTTCTTTTCTTTCCACAGCCACAACAAGAAGTCCAAGCTCTTTGTTAAGACATAAAAACCCTGTGCAGCAGCCTCCCTCCGGCCTGTCCAGCCTCCTCTCCCAGGGATGCTGCTCACCACCTACCCCAGGGTGCAGACAACCCGACAACATAAATGGGCAGTTCTACAAATACACAGTGTCAGATTCTTTTTTGCAATATTGCACAATCTTTCTCTTCTGTTTGAAAGCTGTGCTACATTTTCATAACTAGGATAACCTCTATGGATATGTCAGCTAGCATTCCCACTCTGCCCAGAAACTTTTCCAGGCTGCACTCTGAAATTTGTTTCCACTTTATTGAGGAATGATTTACACCTGGAAATTGTGTATATTTAAGTTGTACAGCATGATGTTTGATGTATGTATTCACTGTGAAATGATTATTGCAATCAAGCCAATTAACATATGTATGCCCTCATAGAGTTACCTTTTCTTTTGTTGAGAACACTTGAGATCTACTCTCTTAGCAAATTCCAAGTAGAATTCATTTTTTAGCTACAGTCACTATGCTGTACATTAGGTATCCAGAAAGTGTTAATATTATAACTGAATATTTGTTACTTTCTATGAATATCTCCCCTTTTCCCCACCTCTCTGCCATTGGTAACCACCATTCAGCTCTCTATTAACATGAGTTCAGCATTTTTTTTCTCGTTCACATAAAAGTGAGTCACGCCACATCTGCCTCTCCGAGTCTGGCTTATTTCACTAAGTCTAAATTCTTAGAGGTTCATCGATGTTGCCACAGTGTCAGGATTTCCTTCCTTTTAAAGCTAAATAATATTTTATTATATATGTATATACATACATACCTATACACACACATATGTATGTATATATATCACATTTTCTTCATGTGTTTATCTGTGGATAAACAAAAGTTGTTTTTTTATCTTGGCTATTAGGAATAATGCTGGAATGAACAGGAGTACAAATATCTCTTCAAGACTGTGATTTTGTTTCTTTTGGAAATATACCACAAGTCCACCAAAAGCTGTTAAAACTAAGTTCAATAAAGTTGCAGAATGCAAAATTAACATACAAAATCAGTTGCATTTCTATACACTAACAAAATACTATATGAAAGATAAAATTACATTTATAATAGCATAAGAAATAAAATACTTACAAATAAATTCAACCGAGGAGGTGAAAAATGTGTACACTAAAAACTATAAAATGTTGAAGAAAGAAATTAAAGAAGATGTAAAATAAATGCAGAGATATCCCATGTTCATTAATTAGAAGAAATAATATTGTTAAGATGTCCATACGACCCCAAATTATCTATAGATTTAATGCAACCTCTATCAAATTTCCAGTGACATTTTTCACAGAAATAAGAAAATCAACTCTAAAATTCATATAGAAACAAAAAAGATCCTGAATAGCCACAGCTATCTTGAGGGACAAAAACAAAGCTGGAGGTATCGAATTACCTGATTTCATAATCTGCTACAAAGCTATGGTAATCAAATAGCATAGTACTGACCTAAACACAGATAAACAAACCACAGAACAGAACAGACAGCCAGGGCGTAAATTTACATATATACGACCAAATAATTTTCAACAAATGTGACAAGAGTACACGTGGGGAAAGGATAGTCTCTTCAACAAATGGTGCAGGGAAAATTGGATATTCCAAACAGTAAAGCTGGAGCTTTATCTTACACTAGACAGAAAAATCAACTAAAAACAGATTAAAGATTTAACCATAAGACTAGAAATCATAAAACTCCAAGAAGAGAACAGAGGGGAAATGCTCCTTGATATTGTTCTTGGCAGCAGTCTTTTGGATTTGACATCAAAAGCACAGGCAACAAGTGCAAAAATAAGTGGGACTACATTAAACTAAAAATTTCTGCAGAGCAAAGAAAACGATCAATAAAATGAAAAAGAATTTTCTTCTATACAGAATGGAAGAAAACACTTGCACACCATAAATCTGATAAGCGGTTAATATCTAAAATACAAAAGGAAATAGTATAACTAAATAGCAAAAATAAATACTCAAAAAACCAATAAACATATTAAAAAATGAGCAAAGAACCTAAACAGACTTTTGTCAAAAGAAGACCTGGCCAACAGGTATGTGAAAGCATGGTCAACATCACTAATCAGCAGGGAAATGCACATCAAAACCACGGTGACATTTTATCTCACACATTTTAGAATGATACTTATCCAATAGTCAAAAGATAACAAGTGCTGGCAAAGATATGGAGAAAAGGGAATTCTTGGAAACTGTTTGTAGGAACAGAAATTGGTATAGTCCTCGTGGAACACAGGACAAAAGTTTCCTCAAAAGGAAAAATTCTGAGTTTCCAATGGCTGTCAAGTACACAGGTGAGCCCTATCAGCTCCACCGCTTGCTGGCTGTGTTGTCTTAGGCACTTTATTAACATCTCCACGCATTACATTTCTCAACTGCCTATGTGGTAGCTAATTTACATTGTTCTGAGAATCAAACTGATAATCCAACAAAATCACTTCCTCTGATATAAGAAGTGAAAGCTCAGTGTGTGTGAACCACTCTGTTGATCATCATCATCATCATCATCATCATCATCATCATATTAGTACATACCAGTATGATAACCGTAATTGTACCCCATCCAGTCGAATATTAATTTGTCCATCTGAGGTAAGATAATACACTTCTGAAAACATAGTTGTTTGCTTCATAAGGTATCCTCTGTACTTAGCACAAAAACTATCCCATTAATTAATAAATATAATAAATGGATTGTTTCATCTGGATTCCTGATGCCAAATCCTCTTGGGAAAGAAATATTTCTGATTTCTTAAGAGTGTCTAACTAATTATGGATTTAAATACTAAAACTCCCCAAATAGCATCATGTTCTGCTTCCTCTCCACAAATGGTGCTATGTTCTTAGATTTTCAGAAGAGGCAACAAAAACCTTCTGACTATCCTCTGTTATCCATCCCCCATTCCCCTTTTCCTCACCTTAACTCCTTTTCTGGGCACTAGCTTATAGTCCTGCTCAATCTGGTTTTTTTCTTCTAAGTAGAGACTGTGTCCTCCAGGAACAGAGAAAATTCCTTTCGAAATGCTTTCTGTCAGGTGCTCTGAAAGATGCTTAAGCTCAGCCTGGCAATATTTGACAGATGCCTCTTCATTCTGCAGCACAAAGTCTTCCTTCTTTTTCTCTATGGTGTCCTGCCAGAGAAATGTAGGGAAAACTGTAGAAAGAAGCTGTTAGAAGGGAAAGTCCAACTGTGATCCTCTTGGAAGTAGTAGTCTGAAGGTCTCAGAGTGAACTGGGATATGGTGTAGACCAAGAGTCAGAAGAATTATTTTGTTCCCAACTATGTGATCATTTATCTGTGTAACCTGTGGAAAGCCCCTTAACTCCCCTGGGGTCAGACTCAATATCTGTAAATTTATGTGGTTAGAAGACATAAACTCTGTGGTTCTTTTCGTTACAGTATGATTAATAGAGATCCAACCTCTAGTAATGAGCAGTAAAAAGTTGAATTCTGGCTGGAAGTAAAATTTCCCCAGAAAACATAGGTTGCTATGTATAAAAAATATACATATGGCAAATCAACTTCCCAGTAATGAATTAAGCATATTCTGATGAGAAAACTGAACCATCTGTGTATTTCTTCAATGACAGTTTGAATATGTGAGGATACAGGAACAGAATTTTCTTTTGTTTGTATTTGTAAGTTACAATCCAGTTGCATTTTGTCATTATGAATTAAGAGATTATTGTCACTTTTAGGTCAGCCCGAGACAGACTGAAAGACAAACTTTCAGTAAATATGCCTACGGTAAGTAGATTTAAGATGTCCCATAAGATTTCTCACTCCTTGGGATCCACACCTGCATAGTTCCTGGGCCTATGAATATGATGGATACTAATCCTGTGATTAGATTATGTTGTGTAGCACAAGCTGACTTTAAGAAATGGAGTGTGCCCTGTTGGGCATGACCTAATCACATGAGCCCCTTACAAGTTGTTTTCTCTAGCTGGTGTGAGAAGAGGAATTCAGTGAAATTAGAAACAGAAGGATTTGATGCATCATTGCTGACTGGAAGATGGATGGGTTTACCCAGAGCCTCTATATGAAATCTAAGCCCATTTCACACCTTGTTTTCAGCCTGTGGCACACTGAGCAGAGTACCCAGACACCCTGACAAGGACTTCTGAACTACATAACTATGAGCCAATAACGTGTATTGTTTTAAGCTGCTAAACTCATAATAATTTATTTTGCAGCAATAGAAAAAAAAAAGTGACACTCCTCTAGAAGAAGGGTGACCTATAGCCCATAGAGCCCTGTTATTCCCAAGAAACCATGTTCTTTCCACCAAGGTAAGGAGATGAACCATGGGGTCAAAAAGCTACACTTTACGCATCACTTCAGAAGGGCAGAAATCAGGAAGGATAAATGCTAAAAGTACCACAAGCTTCTTCTGGAATTCGTGGTTTTCATCCTTGAAGGAGTGTTCCATGAAGACTGCAATGGCTTCCCTCTCACAGTCCGTGTGCATGTCCAGCAGCTCCTGGAGCATGTCTGTGGGGAGCCTCAGTCGCTGGGCCATCTGCTGGCTATAGTGGTCGGCTGCCCTCTGCACAGCCACTGAGTTCTCACACTGGGCCAGAGTTGTCACTGCATTCTCCAGACAAGGTACTGTTCCACTGTTGATGGCATCTACATAAGTCACCACCAGAGTCCCCAGCCCTGAATCACATATATTTAGGGAAAATTTATAGTTCTCACTCATTTTTTATACAAGTTTTAAGAACCAACATTCTAAAAATTACAAAAACTCTTATCTTGAAGTTTCTTATCACTCCTCCTTATTCTCTTCCTCTTCCTTTTTCGTCTTCCTCCATGAATTCAACTCTTTATAGTAACATCCCTATTTTTCCTGTTCACTCTTTTTTTTATGGCACTTGGATTCACATTACAAAATTAAATTACTCTTTGCAACCAATATGCTTTTGTGTTTCATGGAAAAATATATTTCCATTTAAATACCATATAAATGAGTTTGTTATGCAGGGAAAGTAAGTTAAATAATTTGTGAGTCCTACTTCCAAACAAAAATGCAGGTCCCCTCATTTCTTATTCTTTACAAGAGAACTTGCATTTTTATTTGGAGACAAGAAATTTTTATTTGAAGACAGTAACATAAACCACTGAAGCAAGCACGAGCCCATCTCACCACAGGGAGTGGACGACTACACAGGTTGCTTGTCATGAAGCGAGCTCCGTACTTAATATGACATTTAAATTTGTTTCTCAAATTCTCAGTGAGCTTGCATGGAACTCACGGCCTGATGTTGATTTCCTGACTAATGTAAATTTACAAAATGTATTCTATATCTTCACTGAGAAACACTAATCCTATAGGACTTTTCCTCATCATGCAGATTTCTCTCCTTAGGAGTTTGTGTTTATGCTATTAGTGTATTAGTTTTGTGAGATATATTAGGCCTCAAGACATTTTCTTATGACTAAACTTTAATTAAGAAACACTCATTTCTATGTTTGCAATGAATGTCTCCTTCTCTGCATTCCTATACAGAAGCAAACAATATTATTGAAAAACTTGCAGTCGTTACAGCTTCAACACACCCTGGACCACAGACAGACATGCTTTGGGACAAAAAAAGACTCACGGTTTCCAGTGACAGTGATTCCCTCTCCCAGGGTCTTGGTCTTTGCATGGGTGAAGATATAAGAACAGAAGTTTTCTGATTGCATCAGGAAATGCCTTTCCAGATTTCCTTGTGGCACTTCATCCATATGATTTAAATATTGTTTGTCATTTGTAGGCCGGTCAAAGACAAAGCACTTCCGTTTTGGAAAGAAATGCCTGATACACTCTCTCAGCATGTTTGAATTTTGAATTTTGGGATTCCTGCCTGTGTAATTGTGAAAAAGAGTGCTCATTGAAGAGACAGCCTGCAGGCAAGGGGGCTGAGGACTTTTCCACGGATCTTTGCATCCCTGCAGCTCCCCTGCCTTGTAAATCTTGTTTTATGCAATCATACAAAACAGCCTTGTGCTAATCCAGTGAAGGCATGGAAAATCAATTTTTGTACAGGAGCGAGAGTCAGGAAAGAACTCTTGGAGAGGAAGGGAAGACATTTACCACAAAATGAAGAAACTTATGATTGGTTTCCTTGGCCTTTGTATGCTAGCTGGTAGACTATTTATCAAATGTTTTTGAATGATTAATTAAATGAAGCAGCTGTCAGATACTTTCTGATATTAGTGTCCTACGTCAGAAGTGAAACATGGGCCCTAAATTAAAGTAACGCTAGAAATAAGAATAATATGTTTCTTAGAAAAATATCATGAAGGTGAATGATACCCAAGTCAGTAATAAAAATAAAAAATATTTCAAAATCAGAACTACAAATTATAAACACCATAAATATGTTTAGAGATTCCTTTATCTGAAAAATCCAGAGTAAAGTTAATTCAGATATAACTTGGAGACCCCACCACATTTCAATGTCAGATTATATTAGGTTTAGGTCTCACATTGTCTTGCAGAGGGATTCTGTGGCATATATCAGTTATTCAAAATAAATGTTTGTTGAAAGGATGAATAAATGAACAAAGATTGATATTGATCATAGGTGCCAACAGGTATCCACTTTGCTAAATATAATCTGTTTAACAAACGTATAATAGATTGACAACACATTTTATGAAGCTGTAGAATAAAGTAGGTGATGTTATGAAAACAGTAAAATGAAGGATTTGACAGTTTTACTGGAAATATGCTGTCACTGACATATTGTCAGTGTTTTTTGTTTGTTTGTTTGTTTTAATTTCCTGAATCGTTTGTTGCATAAATCTCCTTTTTCTCTAAAGGATATAACTATAATAAAATAGACAGAGTGAAATATATTTCCAAAGTTAGATCATTTGACTTCTTGTGATTCTGTGTTTACCAGCTTCCAAGCTTATTAGTTAATTTTCTCCAAATAGAATAAGAGGAGAACTTGAAGTTAATAAGTAACACAAATATATGAGTCCTAGGATGTGATAATATTAATTGTAATCCTCAATATATTTTTCATGGTGCTTATTGGTCTAAAGTCATTTGATAGAACTTCGAGTTTTAAATTTCCTCAATGAATTTGAACCTCAGCCTCTGGGAAATTTCAAGTAAAAATAACCATAAAAATCATAATCACTTGTCAATCACCAACAACCATGAGCATGGGCCTCAATCCAGTATAATGTATACATTTGTGTCAGGTGCTGAATAGCAGGTCTTATTTTATCCTACACTCTCCTGAGCCTTCCCCCATCCAGGCCATGCTCTGATACCTGGAATCAGCTTCAAGGCATTCTCCAGGTATTCATCTTCTGTGATGGGGTGTCCATCTAACTTCAGCTCCAGGGTAAAATCCCGAACAGTCCAAATAAAGTCTGGAAAGAAACGCACAAACTCGCCGGAGTCCTCAACTTCATCAGGTTTGGGGCAGGATTTTGCCCTGATTAGCTCTGTTAGTTCAATCACGTAGCTGGGATCTCAGCTAAGGAAGGAGTAGCACCCTACACCATCGTTTCCACATCTCACTTAGAAACAAGTTTTATACACGTTCCCTTTTGCACTGTGTCTTTTCTTACTCAGCCAGGCAACTGAGTCATAGTAAAGAAGACACAGTATCAGTTTCCATTCCCCTAAACTCCATAAAACCTGCTCTTCACTTCCCGGAAGGATACTGCAGCTGCTCCAGGGCCTGGTGGTTGATGGTGTTCATGCTGTTGTAGACAAAGCTGCTGCTTAGAAGCACAGCCAGGGCAAAGATCCACGAGTCATTCTTAGGGTCACTCTAGTGTTAAAGAAATAGAAAAAAGGAAGCCACAGTTTAGATACATCTCAAGGTCAACTATTTGTGTCCATGTAACCAAAACTTAAGTCATTCCAGTTTTCCCAAAACGCTGTGTCTAAGGGAAACACAAATGTAAGCTTTATATGCTTGTCAGCATGATCGGTGAAATTAAATAAATCAGCTATAGAAAAAGCAGCTTAAGCATCTCTATTTTCCCTAAAAATATTGTTAATGTATAATAGCCAATCACATAAGTAAATATATTTCTTCCTTTATGCTTTATCAATTGTGCTGTAACCATTATAAGGAGAACATCTTGGTTTGAAGTCTCCTGAATGATGCGCTCCACTTTTTGTATGCAATAAATTTAAATTTTTCCAAACTTGATCTGATATTATTTGTGACACTTGAAAGCACATTACTGTTAGGACTTAAGAGTCTCCTTTTAATTTATTCACTTATTAATTCATTCATTTGGCTGTCCATTCACTGTTTCAGCTGTAGTATATATAACTGAATAGTAAGGCACGTAATACGAATTTTGAAGATCATGTTAAAGTCAAACTGTATTTTTGCCATTTATATTGATCTTCTCAGGCTGTCACTTTCTTTAGGTATTAAAAGTAGCAAATGACATGGTCTATGTGTAAAATATTTGATGCAGTGCCTAAAGCATAGTAAGTATGTAGTAATCAGTGAACAATAATCCTTTGGCAGATTTTCTCAATCATGGCTATATTAGTAATGCAAATGTTAATCAATCAAATTCACCAAAAATTGTTCAGCTCTGTACAAAATGCAGATGCTGCCTTTGGTTTTGTGGATGCAAAGTTCCATAATCACAAGAAGATGATTTTCAGGAGTGGCAGATAGCATTGTCAACATAAAAATGCAACCAAGATGATAAATACTGCCGAGAGTGGAACCAAAGTCATAATGTAAAAAACAAAACAAACAACAATCTAATAAATGGGAGGTGGGAAGGAAGGAAAATAAAGAGAAACAAATGCTCTGTGAGTTCGAGCAAGAAGTTACTGTGTCTAACTAGAATAAGATGGCAGTAGCTTGAAAAGAGCTGGACGTTAAGGAGTACATAAAATGAGAACTTGTGGAAATGAAAGAATTAAAAAGGTGAAAGACCCAACAGAATCCAAGTCAAAAATTTTAGGGAATGATCATATAATGGTATTACAGTTATTTAATTCAACTGAATGAGTGAATAGGTATGTGGAGAAGACAAAGCTAGAAATACTATTCAGGGCAAGACATGAAGGTCCCTTAAATAGAATTAAATGCTGACCAAATCCACAAATTCCAAGGCCAACAAGTAATTTTGCTTCTATCAAGCATGTATATATTTGTATGTTTTGGTTCCTTGAACAGTCATACTTCCGCAAATAAAAAAGTTTATGCACACTACAATCTATTTCAAATCAATATTTCATCTTTGTTGTACACTGAAATGATGATTGATAACTTTAGAACTGTATCCTTAAATTCACTGTTTCTAAATGAGACCCCACACACATTTGTAATTTTTGCAGTATGAAAGCCAAAACACACTAATTCTATTTTCTTTTTTTTGAGATGGAGTCTTGCTCTGTTGCCCAGACTGCAGTGCAATGGTGCAATCACTGCAACCTCCATCTCCCAGGTTCAAGTGATTCTTCCACCTCAGTCTCCAAAGTAGCTGGGATCACAGGCACCTGCCATCATGCCCGGCTATTTTTTGTATTTTCAGTAGAGATGGGATTTCACCATGTTAGCCAGGCTGGTCTTGGACTCTTGACCTCAAGTGATCCACCCACCTTGGCCTCCCAGAGTGCTGGGATTACAGGTGTGAGCCACCACACTTGGCCTCTGTTTTCTTTTTTTTTCTTTTTAACTTTTAATTTAAGTTCACGCTTACCCCCAAACTTAATAAAATAAAATAAAATAAATAAGTTAAAATATTTAAAATTATTTAATGAAATACCACAAAACTTAATAAAAGCTTAAAAAAGGAAAATTGAGAAAACGTCCCTGTCTGACAGCTTTGAAGAGAGTACTGGTTCTCCCAGCACGGAGTTTGAGCTCTGAGAGTGGACAGACTGCCTCCTCAAGTGGGTTCTTGACCCCTAAGTAGCCTAACTGGGAGACACCTCCCAGTAGGGGCTGACTGACACCTCATACAGCTGGGTGCCCCTCTGAGACAAAGCTTCCAGAGGAAGGATCAGGCAGCAATATTTGCCATTCTGCAATATTTGCTGTTCTGCAGCCTCCCCTGGTGATATCCAGGCAAGCAGGGTCTGGAGTGGACCCCCAGCAAACTCCAACAGACCTGCAGTGGAAGGTCCTGACTGTTAGAAGGAAAACTAACAAACAGAAAGGACATCCACACCAAAACCCCATCTGTACGTCACCATCATCAAAGACCAAAGGTAGGTAACACCACAAAGATGGGGAGAAACCAGAGCAGAAAAACTGAAAATTCTAAAAATCAGAGCACCTCTTCTCCTCCAAAGGAACAGAGCTCCTCATCAGCAATGGAACAAAGTTGGATGGAGAATGACTTTGATGGGTTGAGAGAAGAAGGCTTCAGATGATCAATAATAAAAAACTTCTCCGAGCTAAAGGAGGATGTTCAAACCCATTGCAAAGGAGCTAAAAACCTTGAAAAAAGATTAGACAAATGGCTAATGAGAATAAACCGTGTAGAGATGACCTTAAATGACCTGATGGAGCTGAAAACCGTGGCATGAGAACTATGTGACGCATGCACAAGCTTCAGTAGCTGATTTGATCAAGTGGAAGAAAGGGTATCACTGATTAAAGATCTAATGAATGAAATGAAGCGAGAAGAGAAACTTAGAGAAAAGAAGAGTAAAAAGAAATGAACAGAGCCTCCAAGAAATATGGGACTATGTGAAAAGACCAAATCTATGTCTGATTGGTGTACCTGAAAGTGATGGGGAGAATGGAACCAAGATGGAAAACACTCTTCAGGATATTATTCAGGAGAACTTCCCCAACCTAGCAAGGAAGGCCAACATTCAAATTCAGGAAATACAGAGAACGCCACAAACATACTCCTCGAGAAGAGCAACTCCAAGACACATAATCATCAGATTCAGCAAAGTTGAAATGAAGGAGAAAATGTTAAGGGCAGCCAGAGAGAAAGGTTGGGTTACCCATAAAGAGAAGTCCATCAGTGGATCTCTCAGCAGAAACTCTACAAGCCAGAAGAGAGTGGGGTCCAATATTCAATATTCTTAAAGAAAAGAATTTTCAACCCAGAGTTTCATCTCCAGCCAAACTAAGCTTCATAAGTGAAGGAGAAATAAAATCCTTTACAGACAAGCAAATGCTGAGAGATTTTGCCACCACCAGGCCTGCCTTACAAGAACTCCTGAAGGAAGCACTAAACGTGGAAAGGAACAACTGGTACCAGCCACTGCAAAAACATGCCAAATTTTAAAGACCATTGATGCTAACATGAAACCACATCAACTAACAAGCAAAATAACCAGCTAACATCACAATGTCAGGATCAAATTCACATATAACAATATTAACCTTAAATGTAAATGGTCTGAATGCTCCAATTAAAAGACATAGACTGGCATATTGGATAAAGAGATAAGACCCATCAGTGTGCTATATAAGAGACCCATCTAGTGTGCACAGACACACATAGGCTGAAGACCCGTCAGTGTGCTGTATTCAAGAGACCCTTCTCATGTGCACAGACACACATAGGCTCCAGATAAAGGGATAGAGGAAGATCTACCAAGCAAATGGAAAACAAAAAACAGCAGGGGTTACAATCCTAGTCTCCGATAAAAAGACTTTAAAGCAACAAAGATCAAAAGAGACAAAGAAGGCCATTACATAATGGTAAAGGGATCAATTCAGAAGAAGAGCTAACTATCCTAAATACATATGCACCCAATACAGGAGCACCTAGATTCATAAAGCAAGTCCTCAGAGACCCACAAAGAGACTTAGACTCCTACACAATAATAATGGCAGACTTTAACACCCCACTGTCAACATTAGACAGATCCATGAGATAGAAAGTTAACAAGGATATCCAGGAATTGAACTCAGCTCTGCATCAAGCAGACCTAACAGACATCTACAGAACTCTCTACCCCAAATCAACAGAATATACATTCTTCTCAGCACCACATTGCACTTATTCCAAAATTGACCACATAATTGGAAGTAAAGCTCTACTCAGCAAATGTAAAAGAACAGAAATTATAACAAACTATGTCTCTAACCACAGTGCAATCATACTAGAACTCAGGATTAAGAAACTCACTCGAAACCGCTCAACTACCTGGAAACTGAACAACTAGTTCCTGAATGACTACTGGGTACATAACGAAATGAAGGCAGAAATAAAGATGTTCTTTGAAAACAATGAGAACAAAGACACAACGGAGCACAAACTCTGGGACACATTTAAAGCAGTGTGTAGAGGGAAATTTGTTGCACTAAATGCCCACAAGAGAAAGCAGGAATGATATAAAATTGACACCATAACGTCACAATTAAAAGAACTAAAGAAGCAAGAACAAACACATTCAAAAGCTAGCAGAGGGCAAGAAATAACTAAGATCAGAGCAGAACTGAAGGAGATAGAGACACAAAAAAACCCTTCAAAAAATCAACGAATCCAGAAGCTGGTTTTTGGAAAAGATCAACAAAATAGGTAGACCACTAGCAAGACTCATAAAGAAGAAAAGAGAGAAGAATCAAATAGATGCAATAAAAAATGATAAAGGGGATATCACTACCAATCGCACAGAAATACAAACAACCACCAGAGAACACTATAAACACCTCTGAGCAAATAAACTAGAAAATCTAGAAGAAATGGATAAATTCCTGGACACATACACCCTCCCAAGACTAAACCAAGAAGAAGTTCAATCTCTGAATAGACCAATAACATGCTCTGAAATTGAGGAAATAATTAATAGCCTACCAACCAAAAACAGTCCAGGACCAGA